CTAGGAACAGGTGCCTTACTAGTAGTAACAAGAAGCTATTAGAAACACGATATGTTGATTCATAGACCGATATGTTGATTAGAAACCTGAACATTGAACTGTTTGTCGCGAGACTGGCAAGAGCTGAGTTGGCCTTAGAGGAATGCCAAGCATTCCAGATTTCTTGGAACTGCCAAGTGTTGATGATCATTGTCACAGTGAAGAATTCAATTACAACAGGTCTGAGGGACACACTTGGCTTGGGGGGGGGGGTGGAGAATCTGTAAAGAGGGTCGATTCTTCCAAAGGAAGCGATGTACCAGAATCAGGGGTGGTCTGAACTTCCGGATCCTGGGAACAAAAGCAAGCGCAAGGCTTTTTCCGGGATACTGTTGTGAAACAGGGCACACGTTGATGTTTGCTGGTGGCAGTATGTTGTGCTCAATTGTGGTGCATGATGTCGAACCGCAGCTCAGCATTTCGTTGGTTTCCAGCATGTAGACTTTCGACTCAAACTCACAAACTTACTGGCTAGGTATACAAATGATGCTCTATACATTGTCTATACATTAAATATATAGTTCTGGGACAGTGCAAAGCCTTAAAGCAGAAGTTCCACACTTGATGGACAGACAGACAAGCTGCAGGCAGTCCAGTGAACCGCTAGCAGCACTAGCAGCTTGCATTTCCAGACTCTACACTACACAAGGCTTTTGTAGTCATATCCTATTCTATGAGACGCCGATCGCCATGGGTTATCCGGATTGTGGCAATTATCACGTCGACAATTGCAAGCTGCTTTTCAGTGTTCTCAGCTCAGCGCATTGCTACTAGGGGCAAGAAGCTACTAGGGGCTCTTGGCACACCATCGCGATCGGTCCACGCGTCTCGCCACCACGCCCTCTCTGGAGCATGGGAGGTGAAAAGAAAGAAGGACACAGGTGGTCACAAATGTACACTAATTATCAGGCACAGGTAGTACGACATCCCACGTACTAAGTGCCCTTCCAGCGCCATTGTCGAAAAGGTGCACCAGTTTGAGCCGCTCACAGTCGGTCATGTGAACGGCCGCTCCTGCAATGATGCCTTTCGGAAAAGCACAGCCACTGTATTTTTTCGTCGTTGCAACAAGATCGCCAGGAAGAATCTGGGCATTCTCGAGGCGAAGGGCTTGCTTGAGCATAGAACGAAACACCAGGATCAAATGGTGATAAAAACTGATACCGGCGGCAAGCTCCGTCGTAGCCACACACGCTTCCGAATCTACCTTCCAGTGAAGACCTTGCAAAAACAATCGGAAATCACGCCAATCCTCCTCAGTAAAGCTCCATCGAGAAGGTTGAGATTGTCGAGTGAAAATCTTCGGTTTCCAGGAAAACTCCGTAAGCGGGGTTCCCCACAACCATTGCGGGAAACGGGAAATGACAGAGGCTGCCGTGTCTGTCGTCGTAGGAGCCGCTTGGGTGAAGGTCGGGGACGGTTGGGTCGTCTCCAAGAGCCAGTTCAACATAACCAACCATTCATGTCGGCGTAAAATCGCATATTCAACAATCTTTTGATCTGAAGGTCGAATGGGTGAAAGGTCGGTTGCAATGCGCTTAGCTTCATGGTCAGCAACCCGATTAGCTATAATGTCTCGTGAAGATGATCCACATTCCCGTGCAGCTGCCTCAGTAATGAGAGCAGGGGGGAGGTGCTCAAGAAGATGGCTTGGAGTCCACGACACAATGATCGGGGTAGTACAAACCAGAAGGCGCAATGTCAAAGTACACCGTAGTTCATGCCACCATGCTTGGTGAGACCAGCCTGGATTAACCTGAAGTGTACGGCACAAGTCATTGAACTGGTCGACGATCGATTGGCAGTCAGAACGAACATGAATGCGACATGACGCGCGTTTGACAGCACGAAGGAGTGCAAACAATTCGGTTGTGTATGCCGAAAGCTCCCAATGGTTGACGCCTCCCGACTCAACAACTTGAAACTGGGCATTGACAATGGCATAGGCTCCAGTGGCAAGCCAGAAGTAGCTGCCCCACTGGACTGAGCCGTCCGTCCATAGAAGTTCAAGCCGCTCAGGGTCGAATGAGCCCGAGGTGTCTCCAACAGCGGACAATCGGAGTCGTGAAAGAGCGACCTTCCTTGGGTGCGTACACAGTCCAAACATGGGAAAGTTGACCCCAAATTCATGATCCGGTGGTCTAGAGATCGCTGACTCAACACCAGGACAATGATAAACGAGGTGTTCCCATGTCTCCTTTGCACAATCATACAACCGACAATTCGGTGCTGCAACAAGTTCAGCTCGATACAGCCGGTCATTAGTCAGGTTACACCCAACTTGAACAGATTCAAAAAAAATCCGGTTCGGGATGGTCGAGTCAAGGTGCAAACCAGAGCTGCGAAGGAACAATGAGGAAAGGTCTGGGTCAAAAATATCTTGGCAGCTACGAAGGTCTTTACGTGTGGATTTGGCTGCGTCGGTATAGCACTTCTGTCGCGCAAAGTACTGAAGTGGTTTGGTGAAATCACAGTGGTGAAGCTCATACAACGAGATGGGGCATGATCCACGAAATGAAATTCGTAAACCTGAATGCAGTGTCAAGCCAAGATGCCCCACTGCATCAGCAATTTGCTGGATCAGGGAATCACGAGGCCAAGTCGCCGCACCCTGTAGGTCACAACAGGTCTGAATGGCGCTTGGCATCTGATGTAAAAACCTAACGAAGTCGAGAATGGCCGCATAGGCCCTTGCAATCAATGGTTCAACCCGATGGGGTTTGGCGACGACACCAAGGACAAGCAATCGGGCTCTCCAATGCGGTCTTCGTGCCCAGATAACGTTAACGACTTCATTTTGGGTTTTCCACAAAACCTTCTGGGGGATCTTGGTAATGGCGGAGCCATACGTGAGCTGGGGAATAACTTTGGTCCCAATAAGGTGCTGCTTGATGTCTGGCTTCAAAGGAAGGGCGGCAATATTCCTCAAGTCGTCTACAACTTTTACTCCTTTCTTGGGATCGAAGTCATACGAACGAAGAGAAGAGACATACATCTTAATCCCCAGAACATCAATTACGTCAGCGAGTGGAATGTCGGGGAATAAGGCAATGACCATTTTCTTCTTGGTGGGGTCAGAAACCCACAGCTGACACTTTTTGGGATTCGAGAGTTGCCCAGTCAGAGTATCCCAAAAGTAGGTGACTTCAAGGGCCCGTTTCAAGTCAGCACGGTGGTTGATATTGGCCCACATATAGGCATCGTCGATAAAGGCCTTGGAGGTAACCGTAGGTATGAGATTACAAAAGATCGCCCAGACGGACATAAACAAGTTGATGGCAATGAGGGATAACGAACAACCCTGTGCAACTCCATTAGAGGCCGTCGTTGCCGTAGGCGAAATCCACCCCCTCAAGGCAAGATGCCGTCGCAGGTTGGTAAATCTGGAGGAAAAAATGCACAACACCCCGTGGCAGGCCAAAGGCAAGCATGAGAACCCCAGCCATGGCTGGGATAAGCCGGTCGAAACACTTGGACTTGTCGAGTTTTAGACCAACTAGGACTTCAGAATCATGCTTGGCGGTATCAAGGTCTAATCGCAGCTGGGTATGGACAGCACTCATAGATCTGCCCTTAATGGCTCCACAAAGGTTCGAAGGGAGTGTCATTTGCTGCCAAGACTGCAATTGCCGGAAGCGTAAACCTGAATAGGACAGGAGAAGCGCTGGTAGCAAAGTAATCAGTCTCTTTTGCATTGGCGATGGATCCCCATTTTTATTGAGAACCATTTGTTTGGCAACAGTAAGTACTTGAGGTAATGGAGAAAGATTTTGCTCAATGTGGTTGAAGAGGCGTGCAACCGGTACAAAAGCAAACCAGGGTAATCGCTGGAGTTCTTTCGTTCTCCACCCATCCAGGCCAGGGGCTGCTTCACGCTTGCGCCTGTGAATTTGATCATAAAGATCACGGGCAGTGATCTCTGGAATTTGGGCTTCATGTGAAAGATGACACGCAAGGCCAAATCACCTTGAGTACGCCTTGTGGGTCCTCATAAAGAGCATTAATACCAAAAACCCCATCCCACTGGGAATTGAATTCGGCAAGGGCATCGAGGGGTTGGTAAATAATGTGGCCGGCGGAATCGGTGATCAAGTTAGGTGGCTCATCAGAGGCCTTTTGCTTAAGATGTTGAAACACATACTTCATGCTGCCATTAGCCGAAGCTTGCATTTTATCCTTCCATGATTGTATACGGCTCAGCCGGGTGGTGTGGGTGACCTGCGAAAGGACACCTTCGAGCCAAGACAGGCAATCGGAAATCTGTACCAAGGTGGGATAGTGGTTGGAAGCCCAGACATGAGGGCAGGACCAATGGCCAAGTATTGCCCGTGCCTTCCGCAAGGATCTAGCTAGTGTGACACCATCTTCGAACGATTTCACCGGTCGTGCCAACCGGAGTGAAAGTTCTCTGAGGATATTGACAGCCTTTGCAATGCGTTTGGTCTTTCGCGAAAGGGCATCTCCTTTACTAAGTTGTCCAGGACAAATTCTGGTGGGCCGAAAAGACGGCATCGAACCCCTTTGTTTGGGGCCTTTCTCCCAAATGCCACCATTGGCAGTAATGACCTGGATGAAATAACGGTTGATGATCTCCCACTGATCGTCAACTGTGGAAGCATCATTGAAGGCCTGCTCATTGGTGGTGGTCCAAAGGTGGACAGCATTGGTGTGACATGGACACAGGGGGTCGTCACTGTCCGGAATAGAGCACTGATCGAG